CGTGTCTGAGCCAGAAATGTGGGCGCGTCTTGTGAACTGGCAGGCGAAAGCTCTGGGCCCCAGGCCGGCTGCTCACGGGTTCCCGCTGTTTCCCGTTGCAGGTGGTTCTCCTGGGCATGGACATCCTGTCTGCGCTGGTCACCCGGCTGCAGGATCGGTTCAAGGCGCAGATTGGCACAGGTGAGCCGTGGGCAGGTGTGGGGCGGGCCCCCAGTCTCTCCACCCTCCAGCCCCTGGTCTTCTCCCAGTCTCCCCAAAATCGTCCATTTGGCTGTACCCAGCCCTCCCAGCCAGCCACCCTGCTCCCCTCTCCGGTCTTTTAACCTTCCCCTCTTGTCCTCCCAGCACCCCCAGCCAACCCTCCAACCTCCCCCTTCAGTCTCCCCCTGCTGGGGCTGCATGACTTTCCCTCCCCTCTGGGGCTCACCCCAGATCTGCTGGCCTCACTCTCCTGCTGGCACCCCCCCCCCCCTTTTGCTGGCTTCTTCCAGCTTTTGTGTTCTAATATGAAGTATTACTGTGAGTTTTATTATTTCTTAATACAAATTAGCTATCACACTTCAGTGCCAACCTAGTCATATTTGTCTCTGACCCTTCTGTTTTGAGAGGCATTTTCTTTGAGAAGTTCTGCAAATCTGATGCAGTTGTACTTTTTCCAGATGATTATTGTTGGTATTGCTATTTTCACTTTGATAGTAAACATCATTACAAGTGTGTAGTAAATGATCGCTCTCTTATTTTGAAGGGAAAACAGTATGTCAGCAAAATGAAATGAAAATAACCAAAAGTTTCATAGATTTATAGATGACGTAGTCGTCTCTAAATTTCCAACCTCTGGGATTTCATAATGACAGTATAAATACTAAGCAGCTCTGTTTGTGAAAGCATTTCCTTAGAGAATTTCTTATAACTCCTTATAGAATTATAGAATTTTAGTTGGTGCATGTGGATTTATTCTTTTCTGTTAACTTTCTGATCAATGTGCTCCTTTAGATAGAGTCATGAACTCTTTTCCCATTCTGTTACTGTCCACCTACAGATAAAAATCTCCCTTTTAGAAATTTGATAGTCTAATTTGTTCCGTTTTCCTCCTAAATTAGCTGAATTGTTCAGGAATATCACTTGTAAAAGATTTATACACTCTTAGAAGAAGCAAAGTAAGCTGACCTCTGGTATGCAGGTGGCCTTGGAGCACTGGCCGATGGCCCACACCTAGGTGTGTGGAGGAAGCATGGAGAGCTGGGCTCCGTCTACGGTGCATGCACGCATGTATGTTACATACAGTTAAAAACACACAGTATAAATGAAAGATAGATTGAGCCATAAGTGCCTGCTCCTTCCTCCCCCAAGCACATGTGCTGGAGCGCCTCTCTTCCCTAATTTTCCTTCTGTGTTGACTCTTTCTGGCCAAGGTCTTTCAGTGACATGCATTTTAATAATATTTTACCAGCTTAAAAGATATGTTGGGAGCTGGCTGGAGGAAAGTGAGGTAAGGAAGAAGACACGTAGTATGTCTGTGCAAAGAATTTTGCCAATTTTTATAGTAACCCCCATGGAATTTAGCAAGGTGAGTAGAACTGTAGGGATTGGTAGTTTCAGAATGAGATACATCATTTAGGCCAGGATTTTGTCTTCCCAGTTAGTTGAATAGCCACAGTTAGTGATCACAGACTCCCAAAATAGGTTTTCATTTGACCAGTTTGCATTTTGATTTCCAGTGCTGCCAAGTCTAATAGACAGACTGGGAGATGCTAAAGACTCGGTGAGGGAGCAAGACCAAACTCTGCTGCTAAAGATCATGGATCAGGCTGCTAATCCCCAGGTAAGGCAGGAGAGGCGTTCTGTGGCCAGCTGGTGTGTGTGTATTCACCTAACATCAGTGGGTGACTCCATGTAAAAAGACTTCCTTTCTGTTATGCTGATGTATTTCAGATGAAAATTTTCATAGTATTTAATCTATCCACCCCACCCCCACATAGGATATTTAAATAAATAATAAATAGCAAAGGATACGTTTTGAGTAAATTAATGGACTTAACATGGGTATTGAGTGCTTGGTTTAGTCCAGCGGACTCTTGAGCTCGTTTACGTAACTGGGTCTCTGTGTCTCTGAAGGGGCATCTGTGATGTCTGAGGAGTCAGGAGGCCTGCCAGGAGCCCTCGTCCCTGTCTGCTGGTGACCTGGGGCTGCTGGGACAGGGATCCAGATGTCCCTTGTTCCAGGGTGGGGGTAGAGGTATCACAAAAAGCCTTCCCAGGGAAGAGAGAAACCTAGGCTGGCCTGAAAAGGTGAGCGAATGTTTGACTTGTAGCTGGGGTGGGACAGCTGCTCCAGGCCTAGAGAGCAGTGTGAGTGTGTGAGCTTTGGCAAGTCACCCAACCTCTTTTGACCTCACTTTCCTCACTCATAAAATGGTGACAGTTATACTTCCCTTTCAAGGTTCTTGAGAGAATTACATGCAATTATATAAAGGAATATGTTTTGAAAAATTTTAAGTTGATCTACAAATGTAAGTCACCATTTTTCAGTATGCTCTTGAGAGGACTATATGGGTTGGTAGAGGCTGGGACGAATCTGGCACCTGTGGAGAGCTCCCTCTTCTGTTGTCCCCATATTCAATAAAAGGCTGCGGAAGTCCCCTCCTCTCCTCTGTTAACCTGTCCTTTGCTGTCTGCAGTATGTGTGGGACCGAATGCTGGGAGGCTTCAAGCACAAGAATTTCCGGACTCGGGAAGGCACATGTCTCTGCCTTGTTGCCACACTCAATGCGTAAGTCTGGGCACGGTCTGAGGGTTTCCTTGGCTGAGCTCTTTTACTTTTGACTTTTTATTTTGCAATAACTAGATTTCAGGATGTTGCAGAGAGATGTACTGGGAGAGTGCCGTGCACCCTTCCCCCACCCTCCTCCAATGAGGACATCTTGCATATCTACAGTGCAATGTCAGTACCAGGAAATGAATATTGATACAGTCTGCAGAGCTCATTCGGATTCCTCCAGTTACACACACACATTGTGTGTGTGTGTGCAGTTCTGTCACGTGTAGCTCCATGTAATTACCCCCACGATCAAGTGCAGATCTGCACATCACCCCTCACACTGCCTCGCACTGCCCCTTTGTAGCCAATCCCTGATCCCCGGCAGCCACTAATCCGTTCTCCATTGCTTTGATTTTGCTATTATGTAAATGGAACCATGCAGAATGTAACCCTTTGAGCGTTTGCAGCTTGTGGTTGCATATATATGGTTGCATATATGTTGTTGCCTAAACGGCATCTGCTTTCTTTTTATTGCTGAGTAGAATTCCTGGCATAGACGCATCACAGGTTGTTTAACCATTCACTTGTTGAAGGACGTTTGAGTAATCTCCTGTTTTTGGCTATTACAAATAAAGCTGCTATGAACACGCCTGTACAGGTTTCTGCATCAGCATAAACTTTCATTTCTCTTGGGTCAGTGCACAAGAGTGCAAGTGCGGGGTCATTTGCTGAGTTTGTTTTTAGTTTGAAAAGAAACTGCAAGAGTATTTTCCACAGTTGTCCGTACCATGTTACATTCCCTTATTCCCAGCGGTTTCTTCATATCCTTGCTAGCGCGTTTCTTCATATCCTTGCTAGCGTTGAATGTTACCACTGTTTTTTTGTTTTTTTTTAAAGATTGGCACCTGATCTGACAACTGTTGCCAATCTTCTTCTTCTTCTTCTTCTTCTTTTTTTGCTTTTCTCTCCCCAAATGCCCCCAGAACATAGTTGTATATTTTAGTTGTGGGTCCCTCTAGTTGTGGCATGTGGGATGCCGCCCCAGCATGGCCTGACGAGCGATGCCATGTCTGTGCCCACCATCCAAACCAGAGAAGCCCTGGGCCACCAAAGTGGAGGGCATGAACTTGGCCACGGGGCCGGTCCCCCACTATTTTTTATGTTAGCCATTTTAGTGTGGGTGTGGTGATATCTCATTGTGGTTTAATTTGTATTTCTCTAATGATTTTTGATGTGGGACATTTTTTCATGTGCTTATTTGTAGTAGAGGCTTTTTTAAAATTAAAAATAACAAATCACTTTTTCTGATTTTAAAGTAATATTGTATATGTCATAGAAAATTTACGTAAAGAAGAAAATGATTACCTATAATTCTACCATCTTCGGATAATCACTTTTTAACTTATGATGCATTTCATTTTAGCCTGTGAACTTATTGTTTTTAAAAACAAAATTGGGGTTATGACTTTTATATTACTTTCTAAATTTTTTCTCTCTTAATGTGTTAGCCTTTTCAGTACCGTTAAATGTGGCCATATGTGCCTGAAGCTTTTAAAAAACATTTGTAGCCTTGGATCATAGTAGTTCCACTTTCTTAGCATTTATCCTAAGGAAGTAATCAGATTACCAAAGAGAGTTGTGTTCACAAAGGATATTTGTGACAGCATTCATGATGAAAAGTTGTATATAACCTGAATGTTCTCCAGCAGGGCAGTGTTTAGTTGGAATCCTCTGCGGCCATTTTATCGCAGTGTGTTCATTCATCACTTATGAGCTGAATGTCAGTTGTAGCAGAGAGTTGTGCACAGATGGAGAATTATGTGAGGACCCTCAAGGGACTAGGAGTTTAGCTGAGTATACTGAGTTGGGCAAAATGGAAACCATTAGGTGCCAAAATGGTGTTGCAGACGGCCACATATGAGGCAGGCAAGGCCGGGGAGAGGCTGGGCCTTTGGCTTCGCTTGAAAGGGTTGGGACGAGATTGGAGAGAGCCCTGAGTGCCAGGGAAAAGACCGTCAGGGAGAAGCACTAACGGTTTCCAACTCTGTGCAAAGGGGCTGTCATGGCGAATTTATTTGGAACCAGATGGAAGAAGATGGGGGAAGTGGGAAGGAGAAAGCCTAGGTGTGAGGTGGTAGTAGGGCCTTGGGGACAGAGAGGAGGGAGTGAGCATGGGCAGAGTGGATTCTTTCTTTCCTTTGTTCTCACCAACAATAAAGCACTCTTTTGTTTTCAGCTCTGGAGCACATACTTTAACACTAAGCAAGATCGTGCCACATATATGTAATTTACTTGGAGATCCAAACAGCCAGGTGAGTGTATTTTAGTGGGAAAGAAAAATCATTGGTGATAGACAGTTAAGGATGCATTTTGGTGTTCTGTGCATACCTGATAGGTGGGTGGGACTTCATTTGTCTTTATAGAACTCTGATTACTGTTGAAGATAATTAGCATTAATACCTATTTGCATTTATGAGATATCATTGGTTAGTGTGGTAGCCACTCTCTCCTCCTCTCTATATAGGGCTGAGCCCTCACGAGCCTATAAAGTGGTGTCATCCAGACCAGCCTCCAAGATAATATCACTTTGGTCACCGTCTCTGCACCCAAAAGGGAGTGGGCGTGGAGGAGAGTGGTCACTGCTGATTGAAGTCAAACAGTGATTGCCTCTTGGGGTGGGAGGCAAGGGCGTGAGGGAACTTTTTTGAGGTGATGGAAATGTTTCGTATTCTCCTTTGGGTGGTGGCCTCACTGATGTAACTGTGGTAACTCCTGGAACTGAACCCTGTGTGCATGTTATTTTGTGTAAGTTTTACCTAAATTAAATCAAAACAAAGCTCCACTTCCTCAGTGTAAGGATAGGAGAGGAGTTGGTGATGTGTGAATGGCTCCCAGGCCATTCCTGAAGCTTTCCCAGTCTGGGCTCCAGACATGCCGGTTCTCTCACCTCATTCAGTTCCCTTTATCATTGAGTCATTTTTATGATGTTAGCTCATAGAAACTGATAGGAAAAACACGTCATTAGAAAAAGGGGCCGAAAATAGGAACAATCATTTACAAAAGAAATATGTGTGAGAAACAGGCATCTCACTGTAACCTTGACTGGTGATTGCTAAGGCCCTCCACAGAGGTGGTGCAACGCTCTCCTTCCACCTTTACCAGCAGCCAGGCCCTCTGGTCTGAGCACCTCCTCCTCTCTTATCCTTTCTTCTTCTCATCTTTGGTCTGAATTCCAGGTGCATTTTCTCACCTTCTCTTTGCTGCTCTGTTATGCTGCCTCCCTTCCTGTCTGCCTCTCCTCCTCCTGCCACCCACCCCCATCCCCACTTCTCTTCCTCTTGCTGCCCATCCCCATCCCTCCTCCTCCTCCTGCCACCCATCTCCATCCCCACCTTTCCTCTTCCTGCTGCCCATCCCCACCTTTTCTCCGCCTGCTGGCCATCCCTACCTCTCCTGCTGCTGCTGCCCATCCCCATCCTCATCCCTCCTCCTCCTCCTGCCCATCCCCCCTCTCTCTCCTGCTGCCCATCCCCACCTGCTCGCTGCCTGCCGGGTTTCTTGGGCTCCCTGCTGGCACTGACTTTCTTCTTTCCACTTGTTCTCTTATCCAGCCTCTGCTGAAAATATGTGACATTGGAAATATTTTTATTTACTGAATCATACTTTATATTCAACATTAGACATTAACATAAACTGTTTTTTGAAAAGATTCTGAATTACCGCATGGATTCTTTTGCCTTTTGGTCTTCTCTCCATTTTTGTTTTCTGTGGGAAAAAAGTCCCCTGTAGAGGCCACACTCTGAGGATATTGCTACTACTGCCTGGCATCCTTTAGTAGAGCAGAGCAGCCAGCTTGGCCATTTGAAGTTATTTGTCCCTAATTCAGGTGCTTGCATTGGCCCAACAGGTGGTGTGAATGTTCATGCTGGGCCTGTGGAGACAGAACATTGGGGCAGAATGAGGTTGGTGCTCTGTGAGTGGCTGTCAGATAGAGCGAGAGTATTCCAAACTGAGCACTCTGAAAAGAGTCCGAATATTCACATCTGCCTTAGGAGTGTATGCACAGACACATATAGATCCACAACCACATCTCCCAGAAGCCTCCTGCCAGGACACTTTGCCACCTGCCCCTCTGATCCTAATCCAGTTAATCGTTCCTTCTGTGCGTGTGCTCCTGCCTCGAATGTTTTCATCAGTCTTTCCTGCTAGTCTCTGAACCTTGAGGTGAGGACTGTAACTTGTTCCTCTTTATCGTCCCGGGGTGCGTTCCAGTGGTCTTAGGATTGAGTAGACCCCTCATAGCTATTTGAATGACTTTCCTTTCTTAGCGGTTTACGCCTTAGACCAGAGAGAACAGTTGTGCCAGTGATGTCACTGCAGCCCGGTACCTGCCCTAGTCGGCCTGCATCTCTCATTTCTCTACATGTGCGCGCGTGAGTGTATGTGTGTGCATGTGTGTGTGGAGAGTTCTCTCATGGCTCTGCAGGCGGCCGCTGACATTGATTGGACTTGCATGTAAGGGGAACTCTGTGAACACTCCTGCCTTAGAGGATGCGAGTTCATTTTAATACTGGTGTGAGTGCAGAGTGATCCAGAGCAGGGGAAGCCCCTCAGAAGCTTCTCGGGGTGGTGCACAAGTGTACGGAATGTGTGGGTAGGATGCTTTTGGCTCCAAGTAATGGAAAACCCAACTTGAAATTGCTAGAGCATGGGGAAAGTATATTACCTCATGTTAAGAGGGGCCTGAAGTAGGGAGTCCCCGGGGCTTGTTACTGGCTCAGTCATGTCCCCAGAGACTTAGTCTCGGCTGTCCTCTGCTCAGCCATCTCAGCCCTCAAGCTGTGTCGTCCACGGCTCTCCTCACAGGCTCAGCACAGGTACAACCCAGCCGGACGCATGCACAGCAGGCCGAGTAGATGGAAGCCTGCTGCTTCCTGGGTTGCACTCCTGTTTTCAACTTTTCCATATTGCAGGGTTCAAACTCATATGGAAGTAGTGAGAGTGACATAGTGCACCGCCCGGATCCATCACCCAGCTTCCATAACTCAGAAGACCAGTTTAGTTTCATATGTTTCCCTCCCGCACCCCATTGTGAGGCAAAATTTAGAATATTTTGAGGGAAATCTTAGACATCATTTCATTTAATTCTTAAATACTCTAAAAGATAAGGACTTCCCCCTAAAAAAAGATAACCTTAATACTATTATCACCTCCTATCCCTCAAGAATGACTAATTCTCTCATATCATCAAATACTTAGTCAGTGTTTACTTTTCCCGAAGTGTCTCATGTTTTTTAGAGTTCCCTGCATTTCTCTTTCCAAGAGTGGAGAAATGTTTTCCAGAAGCTTTCCTGCAGGTTCCCCCTGCGTTTCGTTGTAGAGAATTGCACCCCATGCCCCTGTGTTAACCTAGTCCCTGGAAAACACCTAAGGTTATGTGATGGCCTCACACTGAGGAGACTGTACCTCCTGGGCTGAGAACAGGGTTTCCTTCCTTGAGGTGTAGATTGCAGAACAAGGCCTGTGTTTGTTGACAAGGAGGGTGGGGCAGTGGCTGTAGCAAAAGCAGCTGACAGACACGTCAATAGGAAGTCCCTTTGCTAGGTAAGAAAAGCTTCAGTTCTGCCTGAGAATCTTTGATTTGTCTTTATAGCTCCTCGGCTAGCCCAGGGCAGTCTCTCAGAGGACTGCATCTGAAGGGCCTCCTGTGCCGGCTGCGGTCTGTCTTGCTAAGGCATTTGCTACACATCTTCAAGTGTCTGGGGATTTGTTGATCTCAGAGCTCTTTGATGCTGGGCCCGGGCCAGGCTGTGCTGACAGTGCTCAGAAGTGGGGAGAAGGAGAGCTTCTGCTGAGGACCTGACTGACACCTGGGAAGTGGGGAGGGGGTTTTGGGTCGAGTGGGTGTGTCTGTGGCCGTGCTGCTGTTCTCAGAGGACAGGGTAGGTGTGGCTTCTCAGCACTTTACAGGTGCCCTCCCTTGAGTTTGGCTTTGCAGGGCATCCTTATTCTGACACCCACATTGGAGTGTGGTGTACTAAAGAGAGAGGAATGCCGGCCTGCACTCAGAGGGGTGGAAGTGCAGCTCCTCACTGCTGTTTCCTTGCTGTGGGCCTCGGCAGGGGGCTAGCCTCCCCAGCCTCCACGCCCTCCTCTGTGTCACAGTAAACAGTGGCCCTGTGAGGAAGGTCATAGATTAGAAGACCTCAGATTCTACAGAGCATTCTACTCAGGCCTGGCAGGTAGTGCTTAATACCTGGAGCCCTTATCTTTTGCATCCTAATGGCCTGGAATGTTGGGGTTCCTTTCTCTGGTGAGCCTGAGGGTAGGCAGAAACAGTGGGACCATGTGGTTGTGTGGAGAAGTGAACAGCACGTTGTCCCCTCAGCCTGAACTGAGTTGCTTTTACTGAAACTCCCCTTCTCAGTTGGGGTATGGTACTTTGTAGTACCAAAGAAAGTCTGTTCTCTGTGTTTTCTTGAATCAAAGGTGGTTTAGACCCTCAGATGCTCCCTGACCCTGTAGTTTTCTAAGCCTGAGGACTGATTATTTTAAAGGTTAAGGATGTTGATTTAGAAGATTCAGATAGGACTAGATGCACCAGCCATTGTGGTGAGTGCTTTATACGCACAGCCTGTAGGTAACAAACTGCTGGCCTGGAAGCTCATTTCAGCCCACAGATTGGTGTATGTGTATGTATACGGATGTCTGCAGAAAGTTTTAATTTCACATTTAGAGTTTGGGTGTTTTTACATTTGGGAGATTTGTATTTCTGACTTCTCTCAAAAGATGAGAAGATGTGGGAAAGCCGCACCTACAGTCCTCCGAGGCTGAGTGAGGCGGGCTCTTTGCCTGAGCCTCCGTCTTCCCTCTTCTGTCATCGCATACCCACCCTGCTCCATTCGTTTATCATGGTCCTTGACTGTGCCGTGCAGGCACTTTAGTTTGGCACGTGGTAGGCACTCAAATATTTGTTGAATGAATCCATTGTTTCTTTTGGTCCTCAAAATAACATTTAGCTTATGGAGGAAGAAATTGAGTCTAAAATAGTTTAAATATTTGTTCAGGGTTATACAGCTCCTAAATGGCCAAGTAGGTACTCAGGTCTTCTTGGACTCTAAAGCTAGTAATTTTTCCATGAAATCTCTTAAACTCTTTATGGTCCAGACCATCTGAATGGTGGACAGGACATTAATTGCCCTGTAAGGTGATCACCCAGTGTGATTGGCTCAGCAGATGCCATTACTAGAAAGTAAGCAAAGGTGATGCACTCATTGCTGATATTCAAGGCACAGTGGCATCGACTGCTTTTGTAATAATGTATGTTACTATATAAAAATGTTTCTTAACAGAAATTCTTTCTTTTCCAATGTAAACTGATAATCTCTGTTAGTCAACTCAGGCTGCTGTACAAGATACCGTAGACCTGGTGGCTTAAACAACAAAAATTTATTTCTCCCAGTTCTGGAGGCTGGCATTCTGAGGTCAAGGTGCCGGCAAGGTTGGACTCTGGTGAGGGCTCTCTTCCTTGCTTGCAGACAGCCGCCATCTCACTGTGTGGTCCCAGGACCTCTGTGTGTGTGTGTGTGGAGAATGCGTTGAGCTCTCTGGTGTCTTTTCTTACAGAGACACCAATCCTGTCATATCAGAGCCCCACTCTTATGACCTCATTTAACCTCAATTACCTTTTTTTTTTTTGGTGAGGAAGATTAGCCCTGAGCTAACATCTATGCCGGTCTTCCTCTGTTTTTTATTTGGGATGCCGTAGTGTGGCTGATGAGTGAAGTAGGTCCATGCCCGGAGTCTGCACCTGTGAACCCGGACTGCCAAAGCAGAGCATGGGGAACTTTACCCACCCGGCCACAGGGCTGGCCTGTTAATGACCTTCTTATAGGCTCTGTCTCTAAATACATTCACATTGCGGGTTAGGTCTTTAACATAGGAATTTTGAGGGGGACACAGTTTAATTTAGTCCATACCATAAGGTTTTGAGTGAAAAGATAATATGACCTAGGATTTGCTTTTTGCCACCATAAGGGGAAAAAATTATAAGTAAAATTACTTGCCACATAACACTGTTAAATCAAAGGGTAGCCTGCAATATTCAAAATTGTAAATTGTTTTTTGTATCCCTACTTTTTTCCTTTCTCTTTCACTGTCTATTACTTTGATGTTGTTGCTTGGGACCAAATCTGAAATCATGTTGCTCCCCTAACTTCGCCTACTGCACTAAGTGCACATTCTCCGCCTTCCCACCCCTGCACGCTCCCAGCAGGCTGGCCTTGCTTCCATTGCATGTTAAAAACAAAATGTTACCCACGTTTTTATTTGCACAATTTTAAACCTATAGAAAAATTGAAAGAGTAGCATAGTGAACACCCATATTTACCACTTAACATTTTGTTACATTTATTTTGTATCTCTTTGTGCTCACACACACATAACACAGAGAAAGAGAGAAATAAACTTTTTTCCCCTGAACTATTTGAAAGTGTCTTGCAGACATGATGTCTTTTCCCATAGATACTTCAGTATGTATCTCCTAAAAACATGGATGTTTTCTTAAATAACCACATCATTTTTTACATCCAAGAAATTTAACATCGATACTGATAACATTTGATATTCAGTCCATATTCAAATTTCCCTAAGTTTTTTGCTGTTTTCCTTTTTTTTCTTTTGAATCCAGTCTGTCTCTTGAGCCTCATTTATCGCTGCTTTCTAAGTTCGTTTTGTGTGGGCCAGATTGCTCCCTTGCTCTCTCTGAAGCACGTACCAGGCACCTCTGCTTTCTGGCCTGTGTGCAGGCTCTGCCTTGTTGGGACCCTGTCTCCTTCCATCTTTGCTGTCCTCCTAAAGCACATTTTAAGGGATTCCTTCCTCTTTGTAAAACGTTGCTTGGCATCTTCTGGTGTGTGTGCTCCCTCCCCTCAACTGTGCGAGCTCTCTGTGCTCTTGTATAACGTTTATTATCGCCTTCCTGTGTTAAATGTAGACTTTATGGATCTTTTCTCCCAGCTCCTTTTTTCAGACTATGAGCTTCCTGAATACAGGGCTCTGTGTAGCCTTTACTACCCGTTTTTGTTGCTCACTAAGTGTTTGTTTAATTGACCTAAATCCAGAATGCTCTACATGGTGTTTTAGTTTTGGTATAATTCCTTTACTTGTAGTATTTTCTATTTTGGAAAGACAGCCTGAAAATTCTAGTTTCCTGACATCATCATCAAGAAGAAAAGCTAAGGGATATGGACTTTAACATGTCTACAGGGATGGGACCTAAATTTTGTGTACTCTTTGGAATTGTACCCACAGAGTGAAGACTGTTAAACATGGCTTTATCTAGTCAAATGTCTGTGAGGGATCGTACTCACAGTTGCATTGGTGAATTGGTGATATGCTGGGGTGGTGGATAGCCTGTTATGCCCTAGCAGGAAGTGCTGTGGAATGACATAGAGCAGCTATAAGATCTCTTCTTTTACATCTAGGTTCGAGATGCAGCAATAAACAGCTTAGTGGAAATTTACAGACATGTAGGAGAACGTGTGAGGGCAGATCTCAGTAAAAAAGGATTGCCACAGTCCCGGTGAGTTCAGACTTTTTTCCTTTCTTCTGCTCTTCCCCTGCTACTCTTTTTTAGTTAACATCTTGGTTTGCACTGCTTATTTTGTTGTGGTAATTTTATTGAAAGACTACATGGTTAGAGGATTGGTGGTTGGAGATCTTGTCTAGATCGTATGTTGGGGGCCCCTTCCATTCCTCTTCTTCAAAAGTCAGACTCTCACCCAGACATCTAGCCAGGTCCTGTGCCACATACTGATTTTGGAAGCATATTTAAAATTGATTGGTGTTGAAAATCCAGCATTCTTTTGGTTCATATGGTTCTGTATCTTGTATACACACAGCAGCTGGTACAGTAGGTGCTTAGAATATGTTTGAACGAGTGAAGCCTTTCCAAAATGAGTCTGGATAGAAATACGTAAGTAATAATTCTGGAAAACATCTTTGAAATGGTAGTTTTCTGGTCAGTAAAGCCAGTCACAGCGTGTAGAAGCCAATGCAGGGGGATCAGTGTCTTATCAAATCCAAGACAACTTTAGTTCACAGATATCTCTGTTGTAGTCAGAATTAAAAAATAACGAACAGTTGGATATCTGTAATTTTAACTGTGATGGAGAAGTTTGCACTAAATGAATTCTAAACCTTTTCCCCCACCCTGCTCCCTTTAGGGAGAAAGTAATGTGAAAATTCTGGGAAGTTAGTCCTGGACTAGACTCACAGAGCAGCTTGTCTGAGCCTATCACTGTGTCCATGGAAACAGCAGAGGCTCAGAGACATGAAGTGACTTGAGAGATCACACAGCTAGAAAGCGTGAGAGCTGATTTGAAGCCCTGTTCTTCTGATGTGCTTTTAATTTTTTCTACCCTGTTTCACAAAAGAGTTATAGAGTATTGGGCATCTGAATATGGGATAGAATATTGAAATATGCAGGGGTCATCCATCTTGATGTCCCTCAATTGGATGTGATGGAAGCGGGCCCCTTCCCCTGAGGTAGAGGTTCTATAAGCAGGTGACTGGGGTTATACTTCTTTGTTGTCAAGAGTCTGACCCCATTGTTGCTCTTGCCATGGCCCCTGAGCTGTGTACAAGATATTTAGGTGGGAATAAGACTACTTTTATTCTACTATATACTACTTTTCATGTTTTTTACAAAAGGTAATCTGTAGGAATAGAGTTTTTTTATTCCTCTGTTTAAAAACCTCAGCCTTCTGGTCTTTGAATATATGGTGAGAACACTTGGGAGAAAGACAGACTTAAAAAGTACTCAGCAATCTCTGAGGGAAAATTGGAGGGCAGAGGTGAACAGGAGAGCAGAGGCTGGAGGGAGAGGGGCTATTTAATGATGTCACTGTCATTGTTGGGAAAACAGGCCTTGAGCAGTGAAACCCTTTACTGCTCCAGGGATGGCCTCACCATGCTGTGTAGCTCATGGTGGCCCTAGCCATGAACAGACCATCTTACACAGTGGGATTGCTGTGTGATGTTTGAAGGTTGCTGTAGCAAGCTAATAGATCCGGGGAAATGACATGGTGAAACTGAGATCTTGAGAGGTGAGTACAGAAAAAAGTTAACGTAGCAGGCCCGAGACTGCTGTCCTTAGGCCTGCTTGCAAGGTTGGCCCTGGGCTGGTGTCTGGAAACTTGGATTTGGGGAGCATTCCCACCACTCCCAAAGAGTGAGGTAAGGGTGGCTCACTGGGCCCCACCTGTACAGGTGTTACGCTGAACACCTGCTTTCCTTCTGGGAGTCTGGCATTTTGGTAACTGCTACACAGAGGGTGTTTTCATGACCAGCCCCACTAAAAACCCCGGACACTGAGACTCTAACGAGCTTTCCTGATAGATCGCATTCATATGTGTTGTCACAACTCATTGTTGGAGGAATTGAGCACATCCTCTGTGACTCTACCAGGAGAGGCTCTAGGAAGCTTGTGCTTGGTTTCCTCTGGACTTCACCCCACCTCCTTTTCCCTTTGCTGATTTTTCTTTGTGCCCTTTTACTGCAGTAACCATAGCTTTGACTATGACTGTATACTAACTCACTCCTGTGAGTCCTCCTAGCGAATCATTAACCCTGGGGAAGGACTTGGGCACCCCAACACAGAGGGTGATTTAGGTATGTTCCCAGAGCAGTTAATGCCCTAGCTGGGGTTAAAACCTTCTCTTCCAGACTCCTAGTTACGTGTTTTGTGTGTTTTTTCTATTTTCCTCTTCCTCTTTTTTTTTTTTTAAACATTTAAAAGAAGCTACAGCTACAGAAGAGCTTGGGCCTCTGAGTGGGTATGAGGGTTTCCGCTATCTCATGTTACCTAAAATTCTTGGTAAAAATTCTAGACCAAATGCAGAGGGTAGTCCCTGGGAAACGGACCCACAGCCTTCACAGCTGTTGTTATAAAACCCTGGCAGACACAGCGCTTGTAAAAATAGGCTAGGAGGTCTTTAAAAACTTTACTCCAGTGAAAGAAGCCAAAACTTTATGTTTCTTTGTATTTAACACAAGACAGTTACCTAAGATCTAGCACTATGAGGGCCAGAGCCTCTGGCTGCCACCTTTATTTTGTTGGGGATGTGTCCAAATGGAATGAGACTTTTAAAGAATCTTACCATTGTTTAGGAAATTCATCATCTGCTATATGTGGCTCCAAGTGGCTGACTGGAATACTTGAATATTCTAGACTTCTGTTACATCATTTATAGGTTTTTTTGTTATTATGTGAGCATAGTAGATTTTTCAGCTTAGCAAGATTCTGTAGGACTACGAAAATATTATAGAATTTACTTAATGCTTTCTAAAACTTGGATTTAGTCCCAGAATAAAACTATTGTCCTCTTAAGAGTTTGTTCATTGAGTGCTATATTTGAAAAGATTAATTATATCTCTAAGAAATATATGATGAAAAAGAATGCCTTAATAATATCGGCTAAATGACTTAGTAAGTAATAATCTGATTTGAGCAGCAGTTTTCTTTGTCCATTTCACAGTTGGGAAAAGAGACTTGTACTTTCATCAGCTTCACTTTGGACGAGCTAGAATTATGCTTTTGGGCCATGTGTTTAGTTGTTATTTAAGTCTTGTCATCTGGTGGCTAAAATCATATTGAACCAGATAGTAAAGTGGTGTTACTCACCAAAATCATCTTCATCTTATCTCTTGACCCACATGGGATCTCAGCATAGGTGAGCTGTGAACTTCAGTCTGCATACTATGTTGACCTTAAATAAATAGATAGCCAGTTATTTCCCCAGAAAATAAACCATTTGGGATCAGTAAAGAATTGCAATTTGGGGTCTGTAACCGTGACCAGCCACTTGCAAGTCTTGAGCAGCATGAGAGGAGAAGCTTTTTCACAGAGGGGAAGAGGAAGTTAGGAGGGCTGTTGTAAACAAAGAGTCGCTGGGAGGAGACTGGGAGTTTGAAGTGTAGTGGCTTTTCATTGGCTGAGTTGTGAGAATCTCTCATTGGCTGAGCTTCTTGCCAGTCAAGAAGAGAAAGTCTGTCTTCTTGCTGTTGGGCCCTGCTATCCATGTGGAGCCTGAGAGCTCCCCTTTCTGGCCTCTCGAGTCTGTTTTAATGAGGTTTCTGTTTATTAATTTTCACAAGTATGTGGCCATTTTACATTGCTTTACACATATTATTTTCACAGTTCATGTACACGGTATATTCAGAAAGTAAGTACACAATTAACTTCTAGCTATCTCCTGTAAGATATCGAATCCTTTTATGGTATTCGTGAGGCATGCTTGGCAACTACATAAAACGTCAATAGATCACCAGTAACTCCCTGTGGCTTACTTTCATAAACATATACTTTTAGCTACCTTTGACATTCACTGTCACCCCAGTGTATATTCCAGACAATATTTGTATTCAATATGCTATATTTTAGTTTGGGAACAAAGCTTTTGAAAAAAGATCTCTGGTGTTGAATTTCTTCTGGGACCATCATCACTAGAAACCCCACACGTGAAACAGCAGCTCCTTTAGCCCTGAAGATAATTTAATTTCTGGGTAGAGCTGATAGATGTTATCTGATGCATTGTAACTGTTTGGTAAACTTACCTTGTGAACCTGCAGTTTTGAATACCTCTTATAACATTTGTTTTGCTGTCTCAACCTATTTTAAAAATTTATAAACATTCACTAGAAGTTATTACTAAATGATTGTATTGTTAAGGGATAAATTGAAACTTTCTTGTTTTTATTTAGCTTGCTCAAGCTTAAGGGTTATAGAGAGGGCCCAAGGGAGGATCAGATGAGAATGTGCTCCGCCATATCCGCTCTCATTTTTTGGTTTAAGTTTCTGTCAGAGTCGTTTATGTAGAGAAAGTTGACAAATTTATAAGATTCGTCGAAAAAAGGCAGTCCCTTACTGCTTTTGCCATTTCCTCTTAGAGGCAGACACTGTCAACTGTTTTTATTGATTTTTTTGTGTCTACTGCTGTCTCTAAATACTGTGCATGTGTTGCTATTTCTTAGTTTTTTGTCACTGTAAGAATTTTACATCACGTTATGGAGGGTGAATTTCATCTCTTTTTCCTGTTAACCTCCGTCATGTACACTTGCCAACTCCTTACTCACTAAAGATAGTCATGTTTTAATTTTGATTAGGACAACGTTTAGTTTATATTATGATTATGATTATGAACTGCTTTTTGTAGCTCACTATTTGTATTTGGCGAATGAAGATTACCTTTTTTTCCCCTCACAAACTTTTGTTTTCCCAGGGTTAATATTGGCTTACTGGGCCTTGCCCTGTGGTGGCCTGGGTTCATGGGTTCAGATCCCAGGTGGGGACATACACCACTCATCAGCCATGCTGTGGAGGTGTCCCACATACAAGTAAAAGAAAGGAAGATTGGCACAGATGTTACCCATGGCTAATCTTCCTCGAGCAAAAAAAGAGAAGGATTGGCAATGGATGTTAGCTCAGGGTGAATCCTCCTCAGCAAAAAAAAATGTCCTACCTTTATTTGCATAGTTGTCGGTGTACTTATTGTGGACTGGTACTGTCTACATGCTGAGTTGCTTCCAACCTGCACTGGCTCCTTTCCCTGTCTCTTACGTACCTTATCATCCTCATATCTCTATCATCATCCCATCATCCTGGGGCTTTACTTCACCTTTCTCTGCAGGTGCGCCTGCTGCATCTTGCAGACCACGTCTTTTCTTTATTGGTTTTCTCTCATTTTGGTTGTGCATATCCTCCAATAACTTTTTGAGAAAAGATGTGGAGGAGGAAAATTTTTTTGAGTCTGAGAATATCTTTATTTTATATATATATATATATTTTTAAGATTGGCACCTGAGCTAACATCTGTCGCCAACCATTTTTTTCTTCTTCTTCTTCTCCCGAAAGCCCCCAAGTACATAGTTGTATATTCTAGTTGTGGGTCCTTCTGGTTGTGCTCTGTGGGAAGCTGCCTCAACATGGCCTGATCAAGTGGTACCATGTTCGTGCCTGAGATCCAAACTGGCGAGACCCTGGACCACCGAAGCGGAGCGTGCAAACCTAACCTTTTGGCCATGGGGCTGGCTGCATGTTTATTATATCTTGACATTGATAGTTTGTCAGGGTTTAGAAATCTAGGTTGGATGTCATTTTTATCCAGAATGTTAAAGCTAATGGCCCATTGTGTTCCAGCGTTCAGTGTTTGTACTGAGAAGTCCAAAGTCGTTCTCATTCTTCATCCTGTGTAGATAGCTGATTCTTTGGTTCCCAGTGTTGGTGTGAAACTTCATGATGCTAGGTGTTAGATGAGTCTATTTTCATTTCTTGTGCTGTGCACTTGGAGCGACTTTCACTCTGGAACCTCATTTGGTTTGGATCTGGGCAAATTTCTTTAAAAATAAAACTTCATATTTTTAAATACAGTAGTTATCTTATTATCACTTGGACTAGTCCTCTGATTTTCTTATTTTTAATTTCTCATTTATATCTTCACAATTTTGCTCTGTCTTCTGGGAAGTTTTCTCAAATTTATCTTCCAACCATTCTACTGGGTATTTGATTTTAAAAATTTTCTTTTCTTGTTCTAATTTGTAAGATCTCTTTTTTGGTTCATTGTATGTTTCCTTTTATAGCATTCTGTTTATTTTTAAATAAGAGCTTCCTTGAAATATTTTATATACCATAATTTTCATATTTTCATAATTTACCATATACCTTTTAACATGGATAATTCAGTGGTTTTTAGTATATTTATAAGATTTTGTAGCCATTACTACTATCTAGTTTTAGAACATTCTCATTATCCCAAAAAGAAATCCTGTGTCCATTAGCAGTCGCTCTCCATTCCTTCTTTCCCCCCAGCTCCTTGCAACTACTTGTCTAGTTTTTATTTCTATGGATTTCCCTATTTTGGACATTTTGTGCAAATAAAATCACACAAAAGGTAGCCTTTTGTTATCTGCCTTCTTACACGTGCCATAATACTTTTAAGGTTCAGCAGTATTGTAACATGAGACATTCCTTTTTATTGCTGAATAAAACTCCATTGTTCGTATCTGTTTATCCATTCCTCTATTGATGGACACTTGAGTTGCTTCCACCTTTTGGCTGTTATAAATAATGCTGCTATGAGCCTGAGTGTACAAATTCCTGTTCGAGTCCCTGCTTTCAGTTCTTTTGGGTATATAGCCGGAAGTGGAGTTGCTGGATCATACAGTCACTCTGTTTAGTTTTTGAGGAACCACCATACTGTTTAACATAGCTGCTGCACCATTTTCCATTCCTCCAAACAGTTCACATCCTTGCCAACAATTATTTTCTGGTTTTTGTTTTGTTTCTTGATAATAGCCATCCTAATGGGTATCTCATTGTGACTTTGATCCTCATAGAATTTTTATGGGACGTTTGTTGAAAATCATTAATGCCCATTAATGTAAGCATTTTTTTCTGTAATCTCACTTCTATTTCATTGATCTATAAGCATATCCACTAGTACCACACTGTCTTGATTAAGTAAAGATTTGTAGTTAATTTTGGAATCCAAGTTCTTTTCACATTATTTTGGCTATTCCAGCTGCTTTGTGTGTCCATATGAATTTTAGGATGGACTTGTCAATTTCTGCAAAAAAGGGCAGCTGGGATATTGGTAGGAACTGAGTCTGTAATGAGTTGGGGAATATTGCTGTCGTAACAACATTTTCTTCTTCTTCTTTTTTTTCTTTTGAGGAAGATTAGCCCTGAGCCAACTGCTGCCAGTCCTCCTCTTTTTTCTGAGGAAGACTAGCCCTGAGCTAACATTTGTGTCCATCTTCCTCTACTTTATATGTGGGACGCCCCTGACAGCATGGCTTTTTGCCAAGCCGTGCCATGTCCGCACCCGGGATCCAAACCGGCGAAGCCCGGGCTGCCGAGAAGCGGAATGTGCGAACTTAAGCGCTGCGCCACCGGGCCGGCCCCTATGTTAAGTCTTCTAATCTGTGAATAGGGAATGTCTTTCCATTTTTTAAAGTCTTTAATTACTTTCGACAATTGCTTACCAGTTTTTAGTGAACAAGTCTTATTCTTCTTTTGCTAAGTTTATTTCAATGTATTTTATTATTTTGATGCTATTGTGAACAGATTTTTTTCCCCTAATTTCAAGTTCAGATGGTTCATTGCTAACATATAGAAGTGCAATTGACTTTACTTTAAATTGAGGTCATAATAGTTTATAACACTGTGAAATTTCAGTTGTACATTATTACTTGTCCATCACCATGTATATGAGCCCTTTTACACCTTAATGCCCACCCCCCGACCCCTTTCCCCTCTTTGTCCATGTGTTTATCTATCTTCTACATGTGAGTGAAATCATATGATGTTTGTCTTTCTCTGTCTGGTGTATTTCACTTAACGTAATACCCTCAAGGTCTATCCATGTTGTTGCAAATGGGACAATTTTGTCTTTTTTTATGGTCGAGTAGTATTCCATTGTATATTATATATATATACACACATAATGGACTATATACACACACCCCTGCCCCCACCCCCCACAGCTTCTTTATCCAGTCGTCAGTCAGTGGGCACTTGGGTTGCTTCTATGTCTTGACTGTTGTGAATAATGCTGCTATGAACCTAGGGGTTCATAAGTCTCCTTGAATTGTTGATTTCAAGTTCTTTGGATAAATACCCAGTAGTGGGATAGCTGGGTCATATGGTAGTTCTATTTTTAATTTTTTGAGAAATCTCCATAGTGGCTGCACCAGTTTGCATTCCCACCAGTACTGGGAATTCCACATCCTCTCCAACATTCATTATTTTTTGTCTTAGTGATTATAGCCATTCTAATGGGTGTAAGATGATATCTCAGTGTAGTTTTGATTTGCATTTCCCTGATGATTAGTGATGTTGAACATCTTTTCATGTGCCTATTGGCCATCTGTATATCTTCTTTGGAAAACTCTTCATATCCTC